ACTCACTGTTTTAACCACACCCTTGATCTTGTTCTGGTGTATGGTATTGAAATTGAACATTTAATAGTGTTCCCACATAATCCGTCTTTATCTGACCACTGTTTGCTAACTTTTGCGCTTTTACTGCTGAATTACCCTCCACTGGGTAAAAATGTCTACTCAAGATGCCTGTCTGATAGTGCTATAGCTAAATTTAAGGATGTGATTCCATCAGCTCTACATCCATTATCAAGTCGTACAGAAACAGAGGACTCTTATGTTAATTTCAGTCCTTCCCAAGTTGATCATCTTGTTGATAGTGTTGAAGGCTCGCTGCGAACAGCTCTTAACGCTGTAGCCCCCCTAAAGAAGAAAATTCTTAAACAAAGACGGTTAGCTCCATGGTATACTAGTGAAACCCGCAAATTAAAGCAGATATCTCGGAAACTTGAGAAGAACTGGCGTTCAACCAAGCTGGAAAAGTCTCGTTTATCTTGGCAAGATAGTCTTAAAGCTTATAGGAAGGCCCTCCGTGATGCCAAAGCAGCATATTACTCGTCTTTAATTGAGGAAAATAGGAACAATCCCAGGTTTCTTTTCAGCACTGTTGCCAGGCTGACTGAGAGCCACAGCTCTATTGAATCAAGTATTCCAATAGCTCTCACTAGCCATGACTTCATGAGCTTCTTTAACGATAAAATTCTAGCTATCAGGAACAAAATCCACCAAGACTTGCCCTCAACTCGCATCGACTTATCTTTAAACTCAGTAACTGTAGGACCAGAACCAGTTATATGTTTTGACTGTTTTGCTTCCCTCAATCTTTGTCAACTAACTTCAATCATTTCTTCATCCAAACCTTCAACTTGCCTCTTGGATCCCATGCCGACTAGGTTGCTTAAAGAAGTCCTACCCTTAGTCGGTACTTCTCTGCTAGACGTGATCAATCTGTCCTTATTAACAGGCTATGTGCCACAGTACTTTAAAGTTGCTGTAATTAAGCCTCTTTTGAAAAAGCCTAACCTGGACCCAGATGTTTTAGCCAACTATAGACCTATATCCAACCTTCCATTCATCTCCAAGGTCCTGGAGAAAGCAGTAGCCAAACAGCTGTGTGACTATCTACATAGCAATAGCTTGTTTGAGGATTTTCAGTCAGGATTTAGAGCTCACCATAGCACAGAGACCGCACTGGTGAAAATTACTAATGACCTCCTAATGGCATCAGACAAAGGACTCGTCTCTGTCTTGGTTTTATTAGATCTTAGTGCTGCTTTTGACACCATTGACCATCAGATCCTACTACAGAGACTGGAACATTTCATCGGAATTAAAGGAGCCGTTCTAAGTTGGTTTAGGTCCTATTTATCAGATCGGTTTCAGTTTGTGCATGTTAACGATGAGTCCTCCATGCATGCCAGAGTTAGCCACGGAGTTCCGCAAGGATCCGTTCTCGGACCAATCCTCTTTACTTTATATATGCTTCCTTTAGGTAATATTATCAGGAAACACTCTATCAACTTTCATTGCTATGCAGATGATACTCAGTTATACCTATCGATCAAGCCAGATGAAACTCATCAGCTAGCTAAGCTTCAAATGTGCCTTCAGGATGTTAAAACCTGGATGACCTGCAATTTTCTAATGTTAAACTCAGCTAAAACTGAAGTTATTGTTCTAGGGCCTAAACACCTTCGTGACGCATTATCTAGAGATATAGTTTCCCTGGATGGCATCGCCCTGGCCTCCAGCACCACTGTGAGAAATCTTGGAGTTATCTTCGATCAGGATATGTCGTTTAACTCTCACATTAAGCAAATTTCAAGAACCGCCTTCTTTCACCTTCGTAATATTGCAAAAATTAGGAGCATCCTGTGTAAAAATGATGCAGAAAAACTAGTCGATGCATTTGTTACTTCTAGGCTGGATTACTGCAATTCCTTGTTATCAGGGTCTTCAAAAAAGTCCATTAGGACTCTTCAGCTGATCCAGAATGCTGCAGCACGTGTTCTTACAGGAACCAGAAAAAGAGATCATATTTCTCCTGTCTTGGCTTCTTTGCACTGGCTTCCTGTTAAATCCAGAATCGAATTTAAAATCCTTCTCCTTACGTATAAAGCTCTTCATGGTCAGGCCCCATCTTATCTCAAAGAGCTTTTAGTACCTTACTGCCCTACCAGAGAACTGCGCTCCCAGAATGAAGGGTTACTGGCAGTTCCTAGAGTCTTGAAAACTAGAATGGGCGCTAGAGCGTTCGGCTATCAGAGTCCTCTTTTGTGGAACCAGGTTCCAGTTTGGGTCCGGGAAGCAGACACCGTCTCTATATTTAAGAGTAGGCTTAAGACTTTCCTTTATGATAGAGCTTATAGTTAGAGTAAGTCCACCCCTGGTTGTGCTGCTATAGGCCTAGACTGCCGGGGGATGCATCATGATGCACCGAGCTCCCCTTTCCTTTCTCTCTCTCCCTCCCGGTGCAACCTCATTCCATTAACAATGTTACTAACTGGACTCTCTCCCTTCCCCGTAGTCGTGTGCTTTCTCGTCCCCCTTCTCTCTTCTCTCTCTTCCTAACACTTTCTGCAGATATTCCTGGCTCTGGAGCTGTGGGGTCTGGATCTGTGGTTGGGAGTCTCCTCCTATCACTTCCTGCAGGTGTTCCTAGAGCTGTGGAGTCTGGATCTGTGGTTGGGAGTTTCCTGCTGCCCCCATGTTCCTGCTCATCATTAGCATTAATATCATTGCCATTTTTAATCTATTCTACGTGTTGCTGTGTTGGCTGCCCCTCTCTGCTCCTTCTGTCCTTCTCTCGCCCTCTCTCTCTCTCTTGCTCTCTCTTTCCCCTCACCCCCAACCGGCCGAGGCAGATGGCCGCCCACCCTGAGCCATGGTTCTGCTCAAGGTTTCTGCCTGTTAAAAGGAAGTTTTTCCTTGCCTGTGTCGCCTAGTGCTTGCTCATGGTGGGAATTGTTGGGTTTCTGTAGTTAACTTCAGAGTAGGGTCTGACCTGCTCTGTTTGGAAAGCGCTGTGAGACAACTGTTGTTGTGATGTGGCGCTATATAAATAAAATTGAATTGAATTGAATTGAATCTAGCTAAAGAAAAACAGTGAATCAACCTAATGTCCTAAAAACTCATATAAAGAAGAAAAACTTCCCCCTCAGCTCTGGAATACTCAGCTGGCAAGGCCTTGAGTAAATGAGCTCCAGCAGATACAATAACAAGGATGAGTTTTATTGGAGAATCATTCACTGTGGAGTTTATCTTTGCTTGGATCTATGATGCCCATATTTACTGTAACATTTGGGCAGTGTTACTCTGTGACCTGGTAATTTATGCCGACCACATACAACTAGAGAACAGATATTACAAGATTGAGATCAAACTTGGTGCGTGTGAAGTAGATGTGGAAAAGTGGTTGCATTTTTATGGGAGAAAGAGGCGATGAGACTACACTAGAGACATTTAGGTGAACAGAAATCAGACCTTCTTCTGAACTACAATAACTGAATAACACGGCGAACCTTCAACAGGAGAGAAATGATCACAGTTTTCATTCATAGTAAAGGTCACCATTATTGTTATCTTTTTAAAACAGCAATACTTTTTTGATTTGCAATTAAATCTTGTGCAGAATTTTATTGCAACAGCATTAGTATTTTTCCTCCATGCTCACATAAGCTGGAGTATGATGAACTGAGAGTCTTACTGATACATTTTTTTTTACAACCGATAAGATGAACATGTGAGAAATGCACACCACATGCCTTCCAAATTATGGTTTCATGAAACAACAAAACATGAAGCGCCGCTGCTCAGCACCAAGTCTTGCAGTATCTCACCAACTGTAAAACTTTCTGACTGCTGCTTGGGTGCTAATGGTTTACTGTACTTACAGATTCTCCCTTTTTGACTCACTCTTCTGTATATTATCAGACGTAACAGGCAGAACTTAATCTCTTCCTCCCCTTAGCTCATGCTAATGTAGAGCAGATCTTTCTGTGTGCATGCCAGGGCTCCCACAGATGACGTTTTTCTGTCTATCTGCTGCAGCCCAATGGGCTTGCTTACAGCAGTGAAGCCAAGCTGCTGTGGGTAGATTTGAGCTTACTGTGCGTTTGGGGGGGATTTGCAAGCCTTTCAGAATTATGGCTAAAGATTACAGCAAAGTGCCATGACAGTGCCATAAAGTGCTGATGTCAGATTTGCAAAGATGTAAAGTGAAGCAAACTAATAAAAGGTCAATATTTGTCTAAAGACAATTTGGGAGACCAAGAAATTGTAGGAAAGAGTGTACAGGGTTAAAATGGTTCTGAATCTGAAATGATAACTCATTAGCTTCTTATGTTTCCTTTTAGCTAACTTCATGAAGTTAAACTAAGATGTCTACTATACTAAAACTACTTTGTGGCTCTTTGAGCAGCTCATTAACATAACTTTTACATTCACATAAAAAGATGCACATCAACTCAAATATAAGTTCCTGGTGATGCAAGATCATAAAAAATACAATTAAACAAAGCATTCCAAGTAACAATAGTTAGTTTGTTGGTCAGTTAGTACATACAAAGGTGAAGGAATTATGAAAAGATATACTTTTTCTCATTGATTGCGTTGAAATCAATACAATAAGGTCCATAATGTTGTCAGGAGAGGCAGTATATTTAATCGAAGTTCTTCAGTAATAAAACTCATCAGGAAAAAAACACCCATGGTGGGCATATAAAAGTTGAGAATAGAGGTATTTTGTCTGCACAAATAAATTAACCTCTTGGAAAATGTTTATATTGTTGCATCCAGGAAGACAACAGTAAGTCAAATGAGTTTTTGTTTGCTGGCTCAACACAATAAACAGGTAATGTATCACATCATTTTAAACTTTGCGATGTGATATTTGATTGACAGTGAGGTTTCCACTCCGCTAATAGTGATAAAGACTTCTATACAGAAAAAAAAAAAGATTTGCATTCTTCCTGTAGTCAGGAAATGTTTAAAAAGTGTTAGTCTTATACAAAAAAACTTACCGTGGCGTGCAGCCGTCCTCTTTCGTTCATGGCCAGGAATCTATTACTGTAAACCCCCTTGATACCAATGACCCCTTGAGAAACAGCGAAGAGCTCAAGGACACCTGGAATAACAAACAGCACCTTTGTAATGACTGATGAACAGCAGAACGCCCTTTCAGTCTTCGGTCATTTTCTATCTTTTTGCACTTTTAGAATCTAGATAATACATCTGACATAACTTAGTTTAGAGTCATAGCTCTAAGTTTCAGCTGTAACTTTGCATGCAACCCAGTGTACATTAAAACATGTTTGTTTGTGCACATGATCAGAAAATCTCTGCAAAAGCATACAAGTAGTAAGTTAGTAAGGTCCTCATGGCTATTGTGAACAGAAAGCGTTCAGGAAACATTATGCAAACATGTAACCATTTATCATCAAACATCTTAACTATGGGTATTATATATAACTATTGCTTACCAGCTGTTCCCTTAGAATAGAGTTCAAGAAGGAAATTGTTTGTGCAGTATTGAGTCTAATGGGGTTTGCACGGGGTTCTGGTGACAGGCCTCATAGCTTTTTATTATGATTTTTGAACATTTAGCAGTTACATAGCTTAGAAATTATGACTATTTGAAGGTCTGAATAACGTATGTTACTTTTTGCAATTTCTTAACATATTTAAAGGTGTGACAAAAAATATATTATAAACGGTTTATCTTCTTGAATATGTGTTTTAATAAAAACCTGACTTCATACAATTTTAAAACTAAAAAACCCCATAAAAAACAATAATTGCATCTTTAATGTTTAGCTCATAAGAAAAACAACATTTTCCATTTTTAACATTTTTAGATATTAATCCAGTTGCTATACCTCTCATTACTAGTGGGGTCACAGGAGGGCCGCAGCCTATCCCAGCTGTCATTGGGTGAGAGGTGGGGTACACCCTGGACAGGGTCTATCACAGAGCCACACAGAAACAAAAAAAAACACACACTCACATTCACTCCTACGGGCAATTTAAAATAATCAATTGCCCTGATAAGGATATTTTTGTACAGAATGTACATAATGAAGTTCCTTTGGAGAACCTATGCATGCATGGGACGAAAGTGCAAATCCACACAAAAATGGCCCCCGGGATTTAAAATCGGAACCCTCTTGCTGTGAGACGATGGTGCTAAGCACAGGTATTTAAATATGAAGAATTGATAACTTAATTGTTATACTGATGGCAACTGGAGAAAAGCAACACATTAGCATACTTTTTAGCAAAGTTTCAATTATGATAAAAGAATAACAAAAAAAAGCCACCATATGTTTTGAAGGTCTATATATCCCACTAATTTCACCTTTACTTATCACACAAGACAGTCATATATCCAATATTCATAAAAAACAAATTCTCGAAATAAAGGAATTCCTTTTGGACAACCCAGCACCACTAACCATTACGTTCTCTTAAGCTTCTTAGGGAATACGAAATTCAAAACCTATAGCCAAACAAGCATTCTCCCAGATTACTTAAGTGAATGCATTTACTGAACAGCTTTTCCCTTTGAAGACTGAACAAATATTAATATTACTGATCTAAGATGTCCAGTCTCCTGCTCGTCTGGTGTCCAGTCATGCTGGATTCTGAACCACATGGATGCTGTGTTGAAATCCTTGTAACCTGACATCTCTTCTAAAGGGGACCGTGAAATGAAGCCACAAGTATTCTTCCAAAGGGAGCTTGGCTGTTTCGTCAGCAGATGAGCTGTGAAGGATCTAATGGTGTAATAAAAACTGAAAGTCCTATGTAAAGCTAGATTTTTCTGGCTTCGGAGGCACTAGAGTTAACTAGTGCCTTCAACCTTTGATGTTGGAAATTCTTCAAACGTTTAACTTTATTAATTTCCTGACTAAACCTACACATTCAACTTGATTTATTTGGTAAAAGAAACAGCAAATATTATGCATCTGGAACAAGAAGAAACCCTGTGTGAAATTCACGAAACACCATGACCGCTGCTTTTACAGTCTGCATTCCACAAAGGAAAATTTAGAGACCTACATAAACAACTGTCATTCAATATACTATATAAGTGTTTGTTTGTGTGCAAGGTTGAATGTTGTTTATATGTTTTTTCAATTTGATTTATTATCCTATTCTGTGCGATCTTAGCCCTTAAAAACCCAACATCAATAGGGTGGTTCTATGATCTAATTAACAAGGTTATTGTTTCTTTTTTTAATCCCTTCAATCAATTGAAAATCGTTTAGACTTAAACAGGCATATTCAAAAATGGGTTATGAGTGATCTGTATTTAGTGATTAGAATGTATTACTATAGATGTTTTTAAGCCATTAAATTAGCATTTCAAACGAACCGTCCAAGTTCTTTGCAAACAACCATTTGAAGTCATTAATAGAAAGTATTTTGAAGAAGGATATTTTTTGCAGTCTATGGAGTGATGTCAGTCATGCTGATTTGCAGTCTAACACAACCTGGTGCCTCAACGTTGCACCTGTTACTTCCACAAATAGTCTACCTGCCAACATCCCGGAGAGACACAAACAAACCTCGTCAACCAGATGACTGCTCATATATTTCACAGGGTCAGGCTGTCTATGTTTAGGAGCTCAATCCTAACACTTCCCCTTGCGTGCATCGTTATTGTCTAAACTTTAGGGATGCCATTCAAATTAAACATAGCTGGGAAATTGGAAAAAATGCAAGAATGTAGAATCAATACCACATTCTTAGATGGATGCGCATCATTCATCCGAACTTCAAACGTCGTTTCAGTGACACCACGCGCTGAGTGAAGAACTTACTCAGCTCATTGGGCTCATGGCTGCCGTTGACTTTCCCGTCTGGATGAATCTGGAGGTGGAAGCCGATGCCAACCCTACAATAGAGCCTGCAAGTTCTGCGCCCCGAGCTGATCCCCTCTTCCAGAATTTGGTGCTCCAAAGAGACGTGCTCTGCTCCGGCGGAGACGCAAACCAACTGAGCCAAGGTCAGAAGATAATAAGCAATATTCATTCTTTCAAAAGAAGAAATCCCCCAGGCATTTTGGTGTTGCTACTGAAGTGTAGGAACCAGAGAGAGTGCGCACACAGCCGTGCAACGCGCGTGGGCATTGCCCCGGCTGCAAGTTGGAGCGGTTCTGCTGGCGCGGGGATATTTATAACGCAAGTGATCTCACTACTCGATGCATGCATGAGCTCTAAAGGACGCTCTTTCGTCCGGATTTTGTCACCGAGATGCCACTCTTGCTCAGCACCGACCCACAGCAGCGAGGCGTCAAATAAGCGCGAGAACCAACATTATCCCACATATCATTCGCACCAAGACGCACTAAGCAAAGCATTTTACGCACAAGGGAGAAGCTTATCAATAGGACGCAATAAACCTTTTCTTTTTCTCTCGTTAAATGCACGAAATATATCTTACTTTCAGTATCTCTTTTTAAATTAATGCATGAAGGGAGACGTAAGGGTTTGGATAGAGTGTGACCCTCAGGTGCAGCACGGTTTTAACATTTGCTCATCGTGAGACTCGCACTATCGTATTTATAGGCTTTAGACTATATTATCATCTGACCCGACAGAATGATTTAAAGAGAAGCGTTTGTCACGTTGAGTAAAGTTTCGTCTGCAGTGTATAAGGGTAGACGCAACTGGAAGAGTGCAGCCCATAACATATTTTAAAGAATTCATTGAAATTGTGAATAATTCAAACTTGTCACTTGAGTGCCCAAGTAGCAATTAACAGACACTTAAAAGATGCACTCCACACATTTGAAACAAGAAAATGAAACAGACGCTGACAACAATTTAGGATATATTTGAAAATAAAAGCAAAACTCAGTGAATCTCCTTTTTCTGTACCATTCAGCACACCTTTCTTCACAATGAATTCTGTCCTCTCAAGATGAACATGGTTCCATTTCAGTGTAATGCTTCATTTTATCACCTGAATTTGATGCTCAGCATACAAATGATCAGATCACCCTGATTCTGACATTTTTTTAAAATAAAATAAACATTCTTACTTTTTGAAAATTGAATTTGTGATTCTTATAAAGAGAATGAAAAACGGTTGTATTACTCACAGAGAATTAAGAAAGAGAAAGCTTCTTTATAAAGCAAAAGTATGCATGATCAAAGTTTTAGCGGCAGAATTGATATGCTTAAATTGATATTTCAGTGACACAAACCAGAATCATTATTCAATATAACAAAACACAAACTTCGTATGAAATGCAAATTAGGGTAATGGAACACTCCAACTTGCCCCTTTGATTGTGGTTGTTTGTATCTGTGTGGCCCTGTGATGGACTGGCAACCTGTGTACCCCTCTTCTTGCCTGTTGTCAGATGGATAGGCTTCAGCCCTGTTAGGAATAAGCACTATATAAATTAGATGGATGGATTTTTATATGTTTGTGCTTCAGGACACAAACATAAAATACGTGTTTTGTTTAGTTTTTTTAACCAGTGTTTTGTCAGTTTTTGTCCTCACTTACTGTTTAATACAAATAAGTATTTTTTCAAACGACATGACTTTTTTTCAACGGGCTTGATATGAAAATATTAATTACAGATATATCAAAATACAAAGATGAAGATATTTCTAATTTGCAACCATCAAATTCTACAACTTTCAGAATGCACAATATTTTGACTCCTCCCGCTGACGCTTTGTAATTTGATTCTGTCTTTGTTTCACATGTTTGGTGTTAATCTTATTATTTTTCTATTTTCAGATGCAATGATTGGAATCCCACCCTTCATTGTTTTCATTGCTATGTCTGAATGTGATTGCCTCTTGGATGTCTGTGGATTGCAGCTTGCATACGGACTTAATTGTCTCTAACAAATAGAGCCAAGGCCAGGCCAATATTACCTTTTATGTAAACAGCAGGGCAGTGTTTAGTCCCACTGTTCTAATGGCCAGTCATTCCTCTGAGGCCATTCCAGTAACAGTGAGGTAATCCCTTTGAGCCATATAAACATGGACGATCCTGATTGATTTTCCCGCCCGATTGATCCCAGCTTTCAACAGCTTTTTAGTCTAAGCAAACAGCAGACAGACATTTCTGCAGCAGCTCTGAACCATCTAGACCCAGAGATGATTATCAATGTCAGAGTTGAGGGGTCAACACTTTGACAGGAGGACTTCTCATTTTTGGTGGAGACGAAAGGTCAACCCTGAAATATTTTGTACATGAATACTCTTTATAGTGTTAATTTCTTGGCATTTTTCTCAAATGAAAACCTCACCAATTTCCAGGTTAAACTTTATTTTCATAGTTGAATAGGCCCGGATCAAAGACAAGGTTGAGAGAACCAGGGTTGATGATGGGAAAAAAAGGAGGGAAAAAATGGAAAGACATTCAAGATCCAGTACAGGTGATCTAATCTGTAATGAAATGACCCTGTTGTGGTAGAAAAGAAAGGATTTTTAAAAAGTCTTGGGAGGCTATTCCATCCTAGAATCACAACATCAAGGTCTTGGAGCTCCATCAGAGAATCCATTCTCACACTCGACCATTACACACACCAGCAGTAATGTATTGAGCCCACATTAAGAGAAAAACATCAAGTTTAAGCTGTGATTAAAAAATGAATGTACGGTGCTGTTGATTGCCTCGGAATTTAGCCAGGTTCGGATGCTATCCCATGCTGGGACCTCTGTTGCTTGACAGGAAGATGAAGTTGTACGGTCCTTTACCTTATTTTTAACCACACACGATGAATAAACACTGAATAAATCTAAAATACAATATGAATACATTTATATTAATGTTTTGTGCAGCATTTGTTGTAACTAAACTGTAAAATGCAAAATGTTTTACAATTTTATTTTTTAGAATATACACTGAGTATAAAGGGTGACACACAGGGAATTCTTTTCTTAGAAATAAAAAGAAAACTATGAGCCATTTAAAGTGAGAGCTGAGATTTATTTAATATTCGTTAAAGAGATTTGTCCATTACATCTCTTGAACCCAACTATATTGATAAGTATCATTAAATCATCATTTAATGTTTAATTAATTTAATTCTCCCTGCAGAAACATGGCTGATTTGGAAGTAGGAAGGTCAAGCAAACCCAGTTAGACCAGCACAACTTTTCTTTTATTTACAAGATAAACATTTAGGATTAAGTTACAATTAATCAATATGACAAAGCAAAAAAGTAGTGTTAGTCTTGTGGAATCAGTCATAATAGAATTATCTATTTGTTTTGAAGTAAAGAATGGGCAGCTACAACAGCACATTGCAGCCAAATAGTGGGAGGGAGGAGTTTTGGATGGATGATTAAGACAAGAACATATTATTGATTGGGCAGTTGTCATTTATATTGTTATTCAATTTAGAGGTATTGTTGGTGATATAGCTTGATGAAAGGCTTGACTGTAATCAAACTATTCAGAAGTCTGAAGTGTTCCAATGTTGAAAAAGCACCAACATGTGTCATAATTAAGATGCAGTGCCACAGTTTGAAGTACTGAGTGCTTTCACTCACTTGTTTGAACATATTCAAATTTGAGTGAACATTCTCTTTAGCCACAAAATAATTTAGAAGGTTTCAATGGGTTTTTAGGAGTGGCTTCGCTGGGACTTCTGTAATGGCTAAAGATGTCCTTTCACATTCATGTATGATTTACAGTGTTTATACAAATGCCTTACAAAACTATGATGCTGTGACCTTCTGCGTGAAGAGGCCACACACAAATAAATTACTACCAGCTGATTGTATTGATGGATGGCCTCTGTAAGCTGTTGTACTAAGAACCGTCATTTATTCCAAACTTAAGGCTGGTTCTTAAAAACAGCTCTGAGAGGTTTGGTAAAAGTCTAGTGACTCAAAACACAGAATTTTACTTTTTATTTAGGCACAAAGTTCTTGTGGATCAGAAAACCACTCCGTAATTGTAACAACAAAGGTAAAAGTTATTTCCAAAGTCATATTCCTGCAGAAAAAAGCGCACAGCTTCCCTCCACAAACAAATGTATTTTTGTCAAGCATATTAGAGATGTCTGGAATCTTAAAGTGGTCAAGTAGTTTTTATTACTGAGATTGCAAATGTGCAGGACATACAGAGGACATAATTATTTTACTCTCCAGCACAAGCTGCAGCATTAAACATCTATAAATATGGACATTTAACAATGAATATACTAAATATCAATATACAAAAGCTTGAAAGGTAATTATAACTATAAACAGCACCTAGTAGTGCAAAACAAAACTAAAGGTCACCGTTGGGTGTTGATGATATTGAGTGCAGGCAAAAAGCAGGAGAGGAAGTGAAGCAGGTAGAGAGTTGAGTGTCTTCAACCTGGTGAATGGAGCCGTCCGTCAGTCTCTGGATCCTATCCCTGGGACTCTGCAGGCTCTTCCCTAATGGCAGCAAGCTTAAGAAGCTGTTTAGAGGATGGGTAGTACTCCATATAAACCCTAAATCTGACAGAGGGTGCAGAGATGGTGATCTTCTCAGCTAACCTCACGATGAGCTGGAGGGTGCTTCAGCAGGATGCTGTGCAGGGCCCATACCACAGTGATGCAGCAAGTCAAGATGCTCTCAATGGCCCATTTGTAGAAGGTGCTCAGGATGGGGCAGGGGGCTATATTTCTTCTTAGATTGCAGACGAAGCAAAGTTGCTGATGAGCTTTCCTGGCCAGTGATGTTTTGTTCCTGGAGAGGATTTCCAATACGTACACAACCAGGACCTCAGGAACTTGCTCACCCTTTCCAAAGCATACCTGTCGATGGCTGGAGTAAAGTGATGTGAGCAAATTCTCAACTATCTCCTTGGTCTGCTCTATGTTCAAGGAGAAATCATTGTGTTTGCAGATATAGACCTGTCCAGGGTTCCCCCACCTGTCAGCTGGGATAGGCACCAGCCCCCTCACAATCCCTTTGGGAATAAGCGGTATAGTAAATGTATATATATATGTATATATATATATATATATATATATATATATATATATATATATATATGTGAGTGTATGTGTTTGCGCATATGAGATAAAGATGGAAAGAGAGAGTGTCAGATGCTGAGAAGTTGGACGTTCATAAAATCTATATTGTTTTCATCTATATTCGTTTTAATCGGTTTTCCATCCATCCATCCATTTTCCACCGCTTATCCGGGATGGGGTTGCAGGGGCAGCAGCCAAAGCAGGGAAACCCAGACAAAGGGCAACCTTGGTAGAGTCCAACCCTCACCGGAAATGGGTCCGACTTACTACTGGGGATGCGAACCAAGCTCTGACACCGGTCGTACAGGTCCCTAACAGCCCGTAACAAAGGGTATCCCATACTCCCGGAGCACCCCCCACAGGATTCCCTGAGGGACACCGTTCAACGCCTTCTCCAAGTCCACAAAACACATGTAGACTGGTTGGGCGAACTCCCATGCACCCTTCAGGACCCTGCTGAGGGTAAAGAACTGGTCCAGCATTCCACGGCCAGGATGAAAACCGCACTGTTCCTCCGGAATCTGAGGTTCGACTATCCGACGGACCCTCTACTCCAGAACCGCGGAATAGACCTTCCCAGGGAGGGTTAAGAGTGTAATTCCCCTGTATTTGGAACACACCCATGTTGAGGTCAACAGCAAACCACCCCCATTGTGAACAGTGTTGGTGGAGCACTTCTCCCCCCCCAAGACGTGGGATGGTGGACCAGAATCGCCTCAAAGCCATATGGAATTCTTTTTCCATGGCCTCCCCAAACTCCTCCCACACCCGAGTTTGTTCCTGGGCAACTGCCCGAGGCGCATCCCGCTTTGACTGCTGATACCCATCAGCTGCCTCTGGAGTCCCACAGGCCAAAAAGGGTTTGAGAGTTACCGCCACGACAGGCACCGACAACCCTGTGACGGCAGCTCCAGGAAGCCGCATCAACAATGGAGGGGCGGAACATGGCCCACTCGGACTCAATTTCTCTTACCTCCCCCAGAACGTGCTCAAAGCTCTCCCGCCTCAAGGGTGGGAGTTAAAGCTCCGCCTAACATGGGACTCCACCAGGCCCTCCCAGCCCCCCTCTTCACCCAAGATTCCAGGCCGAAGAGTAGATGAAACAACAAAAAAGTTGATCATTGAGCCTAGGGCGTCCTGGTACCAATAGCAGAGATGGACACCCTTTTGTCTGAACATGGTGTTTGTTGTGTTTCCAACAACAAAACACCGCTCTGGCTCAAGCTGGGGAGGGGGCATTCCTCCCAGCCATGCCCCTCCAGGTCTCACTGTGATTGCCCACGTGAGCATTGAAGTCCCCCAGTAGAACAAGGGAGTCCAGAGCAGGGGCACCCTCCAGCACCCTCTCTAAGAACTCCAAAAAAGGTGGGTACTCTGCACTGCTGTTAGGCGCATAAGCACCAACAACAGTCAGCACCCGTCCCCCCAACCGAAGGCGAAGGGAGGGTACCCTTTCGTTCACCGGGGTGAACCCCAATGTGCAGGCACCAAGATAAGGGGCAACAAATATGCCCACTCCTGCTCAGCACCTCTCACCGGGGGCATGTCCAGAGTAGAAAAGCGTCAGTAAGGCTGGTTCCAGAGCCAAAGCTGTGTGTCGAGGCAGGACCAACTATGTCCAGCCCCCCCTCTGGGCCTGGTTCCAGAGTTACCCGCGTCCAGGCGAGGGTACACTTGGCCCATTAATCAAATCCATCATAAGGGGTCTTTGGGCTGCACATCATCTGATCTCTCACCTAGGACCTGTTTGCCTTGGGTGACCCTACCAGTGGCTTGAAGCCCCAGACAACATAGCTCCTAGGATCATTGGGACACTCAAACCCCTCCACCACAAAAAGGTGGCAGCCAACGTAGGGGTTTATTGTTTTTTTCTGGTGGAGAATAGTTAGGGAATTTGATGGACTGGTGGACTGTCCAGGGTGTACCCCGCCTCTCACTCATTGACTACTGGGATAGGCTCCAGTCCCCATTAGGGAATAAGCGGTTAAGATAATGGATGGATGGATGAATATAATAAATGTCAAAATAGAATGTAATAATTCATTGAATATCATCAATAAATTCCAACCATACCACCGGAAACATTCCACAGGCACAAGCTCAGCTCGTCTTTGTTGGATTAGGTCCAGTTCATTATCGACTTCTCACACTTGTGAAATCTAAACATCACTCTTCTCAATTCAGGTTTCAACAACTGGTTGTGAGCCTGCTCTGGGATTGATCTTGCTGTATGTTTTATAAATGTGAGAGCACAATTTTGTCCATATTTTCGTTATCTAGTCTTACAGGAAAATCTTCATTGACCAGATTTAAATGTATTTTTATTTATCTGTGTGTGCTAGAAGGAGTTGTCAAATGTTATCAGAGCAGGAGCTTGAATCTCGTCTATGTGACGTGGGCAACACCAGGCCTCAAGAGCCACTGTCCTGTAGGTTTTCGTTTTTTTCCCTGGTTCAACACCCCTGTTTTGAATAAATACTACTTCAGTAGTCAGATCTCAGTGCAGATTTTGACAATCTTTTAAATCCAATCAATTTAATCTGAATCAAATCTGGCCTCTTGTACTGGTAAACAGTCTTTTCATCACATAAGATTGTACACTTCTAAATGTTTATTTCGATATCTGAAGGAACAATAAACCACACATTGCACTTGATGAGTAATGTGAGGATCCAGAAATAAATCCAAGAAGATTTATTTCAATAATTTAACCTAGAAAAGAAGAATGTGACGTAGGGACAAAGCAACCAGGGTGTCACAGTTGTGCCCATTTTTGCCCAGTCCATTCCCTTTTTTCCCTCAGCCACCTTTTGTTTTACTTGAGTCACCTGTTCCGGTCCACCTTTTACCTACTGCCCTGTTTTCGCGCCCTGCTATCTACACACCTGAGTTCTCAGCTGTAACTCATTCCCATCTCATTTGCCCAGTATTTTAGCTCCCTCAGTTTTCCCCTTCTTTGCTAGTTCGTGTTTCATCTGTGAGACTCTCAGTGGATTTCTGCATCGCTCCTCAGCCCTTTTTTTTGCCCATTTCTGGACTTTATCCACAGTGTCTGCTTGTGGTAATTCTGTTTGTGCCTTGTGCACTTTTTTCTGTTTTAGTGGACATTTAATGTGTTTCTTTTGTTTTCGTCGTTCCTGCTTGGCAGAGTTTTGTGTTTAGATTTTTCAGATTTTTGAAGACCTCTTTAAAATAAAGACAGTTAAATTGGCCTTCCCGGTGTGTTGCGTTTGAGTCCTGGAACCCTTGCGTGATACAGGGAGCAAAGAACCAGGGAAAAAAACATTTGTCACTATTGTAAGGGATCTGACAAGGAGTTGGATAATCCAACGGTTTTAATTACGACCAGTGTACAGTTGAACACATTCACTTGATAACCCTTTAACCCCTATAATAATAACAGTCTGCCTAGTCCTTTTTCTCTTTATTTCTCAGTAAATAAATGAATGAGTAATGTGTGTGAAATCCTTTAGCCCTTTTTAACATAAGTTCAACTTTCAAAGTCCCTCAAGATATTTTCATATGTTGTGGGTGTTTTAAAAATGTAGACAAAGTCAAAATGGCTTCAAGACATCTTTTACTCAGGCTTTATCTTGTTGTTTCTGAAAACCTGTCATATTTAAACTGTATTTGTAGATTACATGTAGCAAATATAAATGGAAAATAATCCATTCAGATATAATTTTTAGATACTTTATTTTTGTTAATGCATGTTTTGCATGCACAGTAGAGTACATTAGTACAAGACATGAGAGAAAATGTCATTTGAACATTATGTTGCTTCCTTGGAGTTTGATTATTTGAGAAATAAAATTGCTCATCATATCAGTCTTGGAAAAACAGTAAGCATCGATTTAGTTTCTTTTATAGCAGGCACAGCTGGGACACTTGACGAAATAACACTGCAGATTGATAGCTAAAACAAAAAACAATCATAGTCCCCTGCTTTGCACATCATGCTCTGAATTAAAGGCTTGTTTAAGATAGTCTAACTTTTCCAAACTGATGCCAAGTGCCAAAAGATTTGTATGACTGACAAAATCTTCTCCAAGAACACAACTATTTGCTTTGGTAGATACAATTACAGACTTACATTTTTACATGGAAAATCCTTTCTACCCATCCGACAAGAATAATTCTTCTCTTAAGTGGTTTCTGGTTGGTCATCTTTTTTTTCTCACAGCAAACAGCCAGACAGAGCAATGGAGATCTTCACTATTCCATTACCCATCTCTTCCTCAGGGCCATTCTCGGGTTGCCATACATCTTCATTCAGACCTTTCACTGAGTCTGATCATAGACTTGAGTTCCCAGCATTTTGAAACTCAAAGCTTCCTCTATCACGATTAACTGTTTTTAAGAGGAAGTTAAGTGATGATAAACATTGCTGCTAAATGGCTATTCGTCTGATCTCCTTTCTGCCTCTGCTTGTTTTTACGTCCATACCATATTTTACGTCTATCGTTCTTAAAGTGTGGGCTTGTGTTTTGTTGTTGACTGTGTCATATGATGACACAGTGATGATATGTTGATGCAGGACAAGCTAGAGGGCTTCTTAGTTATCCAGCTCTTAAAAACAGGATGACTTTGTAGAGAAGTAATTGCCTCCAAGAAAACTGTACACTGCGGTTGTTATGGAGATTTGCATTAAAGAGAAGAGAAGGGCTTAGTGATAGAATGTGTTACAATGTAATATGACCACCTCCCATGTTATCAGCTCCTGCTATGGTTCCGTATCTACA